GGCCCGGGAGGGAGCACCCCGGGCTGCAGGACGAGGTGCCGAGGGCTCCAGCTGCAAGGCAGGAAGTACCCGGGTTCTTAAGCAATTGCGGAGTGCTATTTTTAAGCAGTTTTAGGATTCTGCCACCACCACCCCCAAATCGCCCTGTGGATCCTCCCTCTCGTCTCGGGTTGTTTTCCTATACAGCCTTGTCCAAAAAGTAAAGTGGGATTTAAAAAAAGAAAAGGGAAAAAAACAACAACAACAAAGGAAAGAACCCCACCTTCCTTACTAAAAAGTGTAGGTTTTGATCCAGCTTAAAATTGTCAGACTTTAGCATCGCTGGTTTGTATCGCCAGAGACAGAAGTGTCATGAATAGATTAAACAGCCGGGCAGAGCTTGTGCAACACCCGCATACCAGCAGGCACGCGTCGCTGGGAGCGGTGTGCTTTCAAACCCGGGGTGAAGCCCCCCCTTCCCCCAGAGATCACAGGTGCAGAAGCTTTGTTTAAAATGCTCTTCAAGGGTTTTATTTTTATTTTTTGGAAACTTGGGAAAAAATCGGGTTTCCAGCCCAAAAGCAAAGGGAGCGAAGAGCTGGGAGTGAGCAGTTGTATAAAAACATAGCTGTAATATTTTGGAGTATGAGATGGAGACCAAATAGCAGCATGGCTAATGACCTCTCCTCCACATGGTACCCTCATCAGAGCCGGAGAGAGAATCCTGCTGTATTATCCAAAAACCGTCTATAGGAAACACACATGCACACGCAGAAGGAGAGGGAGAGAGAGATGACATTGTCAAGGGGAGATATCTATATAGAGTCAGCTCTGGGAGAGCAGTGGCTTTCGCTTTTATTGGGTTTTTCTGTTGTTGTTGTTGAAGACGGGAGGAAATCTTCCCATTTGACATGGGGGTGGCGGGGGGTAGTCCCAGCCTTCTGATGTTGAAAGGAGCTATCTCCTAACATTTGCTCAGAATACATCTTTATAAATGTCAGGGAGAAGCGAAACTTTCCAGACTTAAAAGAGGGATTTGAGATGAGGGGGGAAAAGACTTCTGTGCAAGCTCGCGAGCCAGGGCTGAGGGGAGAGTAGGTTTGGCTGGTCATGAAAATCATTTAAAGCGCGTGATCCCAAGCCCAGGAGCGGCAGGCTCGGTTCTGGAGGTGACGGGCTCAGCTGCTGGTCCAAGGCTAATGTGGCTGGAGTGCCGGGGCTGGGAAAAACTCCACTGCAGGCACCAAACAGCTGGCTGCAGATGAGTGGATGTATTTGCATGGGCAGCATGTAGGTATCCTTAGGTTTTCCTGCCACTGAACCCCCAGTCCAGGGTGTGGGGGTATATATAT